TTTTTTTTTTTTTTTTTTTTTTTTTTTAATTTACTGAAACTTACTCCCTCCCACTGTTCTTAGTTCAAAGTTTTTGGACCCGTTCCTGAAGTAGATAGTCTTGAGTCCTTATCTTGCACCACTGGGTGGGGAATAAGTAATGAAGTCCTATGTTTTTATCCCAGGGCTGTAATGGGGATCTCTAAATTAAATTATTATAGTATGCAAGGCAGAAGTATTGTGACTTACCATAATTTTTTACTCTCTTCCACAGCAAGCTTATTGCACTTATGGTCGTCTAATGCCACTTGCATTTTATACATGCTTTTATTTGCTGTCTAGGCATTCTAAATGAAGGGGACAACTGTCAATATGTCTACAATGTAGACCAGAGAGATACAGATTTGGATGGTGTTGGAGATCAGTGTGACAATTGTCCTATGGAACACAATCCAGACCAGGTAGGCTTTAATACTCCAGCATCTGAAAATAATAATTATAGCAAAATACAGTATTTAAGTGTTCGCTACTATAGTGACACATGGCAAACAACAACATCTCACTGAGTTTATGCAGCTATGAGCTATTCTTTGAAAAGCAGAGTAGTGGAAATTTTTTTTGGGCATTTTGCACAAACTGAGTCTCTGGAGCACTTCCAGTGGGAGACTCCTGGGACTTGAAACTTGTACATTGCAGCAAGTCCTGAGAGAACAGCATGAAATTAACAACGGTAACAGTTTTTTAAATGTATACATTCTCTTGTTGATCACACAGGACAGTGTGAATTATGGTCATACAGATATTCTAGGTAAGAATAACCAGGAAAATCTAAATTCACAAATAAGACATGGACTGAAGTTAAGGAGTTTGGATGCAAAATGTTTAAAGTGGAGAGGAAAAATGGAAAGCAGTGGTGGACTTCTCTGCCTGAGCTTATACAAATATATTTCAGATATTGACATTCATGGTGTGTGCTAGCAAAAGAGGTAGAGCGTAGACAGACAGAACTGGAGAGTCAAATAGCACATTGCATTTTGCTTTGTATAAATACAAGCTGCTTTCTTAAGGACTAAGGTTATAGTGGCTTTAAAGGCAACATTGCTCTTTGCCAAATTGGCAAAGGCAATACTTTTGTCTGGATGCCTGTTTCTTTTGCATCTTTTTTTAGAAAATGCATATTCTAACACTTGTAAAGATTTGTCTTTGTATTGATCATAAGATGGAATGGGGGGAAATACAGTTCCACTGTATTTGCTGCTTAAACATTTCAAAGGCAGCAGCAAGTGAAGCCTGAAGTTCTGTTAATAGGCAGTAAAATTTAATAGCTTCAGGGACATAACTGGAATACTTGAGTAGTCAGAACAGTTGCTTTTAATTCTATGGAATCCAGTATAAGACTACCTGTAGGGTAAATTTAGTATTACATGTGAAGATTTGAATCAAGCTTATAAAATGACTTGTGTCAAGGTATAAGTTTGACTCCTTCCCAGTGCTTTTCAGATGAGACAAGGTGGTTAAGTGATCCACTTTAGAATCCGTTTCTCCCCACCCCCACTACAGCTTTCATGGATCCCCTCCCCCCCACCAAATGTACAACTATTGACCTGTAAACATTCTGAGGATGTAGGGGGAAACTTCCTCAAGAACCAGTAGCCATTCAGAAGATACATGAAGTGCCTACAGCACCATGAGAGAAGTTCACAAACCATTTGACTAATTCTTGAGGCAGCCCTTGAGGGTAAAAAAAGGAAGAAAAACCTAGAGACCCTTTGACCATAATACAGAAACTGAGTAAATAACTAGAAGCTAAGATGTATACAAACTTCACAAAGGAGAAGAATCCCTTTTAGCTAACCATTAAGGGAATAGCTGTCTCCTTTCAGTACTACTTAGCAGACATACAGTTGGCATGTTCTTTCTGTAATTAAGAACATGGACACGAAACAAGCTATAAAACCAATGTTTTGATAGGCTTGACCTTAATACAGGAGTACTTAAATGGCTAGATACTAATAGCCTTGATCACGCATGGTGCTTTGAGGATCTAGAAGTCTGTAGGCGTGAGGGAGGGGAAGAGAAGTGAGATCTCTACAGTTCAGAAGGAATAAAGGATGGTAAAGTAGCACAGACTAGCAACAGAAACAGCTCATTGGTAACTGTACTTGTGTGGGGAGGGATTGGAGCCCACATTCTGCTACCAAAAATTCAGATAACTAATTAAGCTAGAGGCAGTTCTAAGAAGTCACTGAAAACAAGGTAAAAGCTCTTGTACTAACTAAGGAATCATAATTCTTAACACCTTACTGCTCCCCATTCCTGCCACAGTCCTTGTTCTCTAAGTGAATAGAAATCCTAATTCATTCTAGCCTTCAAGTCCTATTTGTCTCATTCTTGTTGTCACCCTCACGTGGTGGAAGAAGTGGTGTGTATCTTTTTTTTTTTTTTTAAATTTTTTTTTTTTTCCCCCTCCGTGGGTGAAAAAAGGGGTGTGTTTTTTTTTTTTTTTTTAAATTTTTTTTTTTTTCCCCCTCCGTGGGTGAAAAAAGGGGTGTGTTTTTTTTTTTTTTTTTAAATTGTTCTTCTGTTTCCACCCTTCTTTCCCACCAGGCAGACACAGACTCTGACCGCATAGGAGATAAATGCGACAGCAACCAGGACATAGATGAAGATGGCCATCAAAATAACCTTGATAACTGCCCCTATGTACCTAATGCCAATCAAGCTGACCATGACAAGGATGGCAAAGGTGATGCCTGTGACCATGATGATGATAATGATGGTATCCCTGATGACAAAGATAACTGCAGATTGGTTGCCAACCCAGACCAGGTGGACTCTGATGGTAAGCTATCCAGTACAATATCAAATAGTAAATGCCCAAGTAGCTTGTCTAAAATGCATAGATTTTTTTTTTTTTTTAAATTGCTGTAAGTAACTTCTGCATTCTTGACTTATGAAATATTCTTCTTTAAAGAGAGCATATATACAGGTTGTGTTAATGTTATTTCACTCCTGTGAATTTTAGCATAAAATCTTCCTAGAAAAATTCTTAACTGCAAAAATATATAAGGATGAGGAAAAGAAGATTAGCACACATTACAGTAGCCAGAATCTTTTTTGTGATATGACAACATTGTGTTTAAAGACCTGCTAGGCTTCTTGGCTAAATCAATGGTTAGTTAACTCTATGGCGGTCCAATAAAAGATACCGCCCTAAGAAATCCTTGCCTCTTGTAGGCTGCTTAAATTAATTCTGCCTTGTGGTTATACCTGTCACAGCCAAATGTTTGCAAATAAGACTTTGTAGTCATGTCATTACAAGACTTGTTAATTTGTTTCCTCAAATTTATGCCAATACTTCTGTTTTCAGACTTTAATGTAATATTAAACCTTTCTGTAGGTGATGGTCGTGGCGATGCTTGCAAAGATGACTTTGACCAAGATAATGTGCCAGATATTGATGACATTTGTCCAGAAAATGTTGATATCAGTGAAACCGATTTCCGACGATTTCAGATGGTTCCCCTTGATCCCAAGGGAACATCCCAAAATGATCCCAACTGGGTTGTTCGTCACCAGGGTAAAGAACTGGTTCAGACAGTCAACTGTGATCCTGGTCTTGCAGTGGGTAAGTAGAGGGTTTTTAGATCCTTTCCCAAATTGGTAACTCATCTAAGCATCTAGGACCAGTATAAAGCTAACAAACGAGCTCAAACTTGCTTTCCTTTAATTTTTCACCCAGGTTTTGATGAATTCAATGCTGTAGACTTCAGTGGCACATTCTTCATCAACACAGAGAGGGATGATGACTATGCTGGCTTTGTATTTGGTTATCAGTCTAGCAGCCGTTTCTACGTAGTGATGTGGAAGCAAATCACCCAGTCCTACTGGGACTCGACACCAACCAAAGCTCAGGGATACTCTGGTCTTTCTATCAAAGTAGTGAATTCCACCACAGGTCCAGGAGAGCACCTGCGTAATGCTCTGTGGCACACAGGAAACACTACTGGACAAGTAAGAACTGCACTTCTGGTTGAATCTCTCCCATACCTAAGGTCAAGCATGGCAATTCTTAAAATATAGACAAACGTATATATGAAAAATGTACATGAGCAGTGTAGGAAGGATGTCTTTTTTTTTAAAAAAAAAAAAAAAAAGCTAAATGTGCGATTTTTAGAACTCACTGAATCCAAGAAGAAATGAGGGATAACGGTGAAGCACGTGCTCTGGAAGTTCATTGTCTAGTAGTAAGGGGCCCTAAGCAAAAAGGGAGTTCATTCTTTCTGACAGCCAGGTTGAGATTCAGTTATATACATAGAACTTAAGTGGAATTATTCCAATCCTAAAAAGGTTCTCATTTAATTTTTTTAAATAAAGTGGGTTTCAAGAGACTCCAGTTCCAGAGCATCCAAGTATATGACTACTATAATTTAAGGCCTCTGGCTCAGTGTCAAAATACTGCCTAAAGATTCAAATGTCTTGGACTAATTAGTCTTATTCTTATTTGATAGGTGCAAACCTTGTGGCATGACCCTCGTCACATAGGCTGGAAAGATTTTACTGCCTACAGATGGCGTCTCAGCCATAGACCAAAGACTGGCTACATTAGGTAAGTATCATTCTAATATTTGAAATGAGGGAAAAGTTTGTGGTGGTGGTGGGTTTTGTTTTCTGTCATTTAGTTAAATTTGCCATCTTTAGAATGAGTTTTACCACAATTGACACGAATTTTTCTTCTTTTGTTAATGCCCTTTGCAGAGTTGTAATGTATGAAGGGAAGAAAATCATGGCTGATTCAGGACCAATCTATGACAAAACTTATGCTGGTGGTCGGTTAGGATTATTTGTCTTTTCACAAGAAATGGTGTTCTTCTCGGATCTCAAATATGAATGCAGAGGTAAGAATAAAATCTTGTTAGCATATCATCTTGAATATACTGAAAAGATTAACATTTACCACCGCCCAGGTAATTCTCAGATTTTGAAGAAAATTTTAAATGTTACTTGAACTTGGGGGTTTGATTTAATATATTCAAGATCTCATTATACTCTGGGGTCTTGATAAATGGGAGTTAGAAAGCATCCATTTAGTAAACTGTGTAGTTATGCTTTTTGGTTTTATGGGATTTTTTAGCATCCCTTTAAAACGAAATGTTAAAAGCCTTTTGCTATTGCAGGATATGATGTTTTAAGAGAATACCTTTTTAACTACCTGTAGTTGTGGATACAAATATTTCTTAAAACACAGTTGGCCAGTTTCTCACCTGCATATTAAACTGCAATGTGAAATGCAGAATCTTGACTCGAGTCAAACAGTACCTATGAGCACATGAAAGCACTGTCCATAATATGTACACAGCTCCTCTGAATCAGGACTGTGTACCTACCTACCTACTTGAAAATATAGCCCTACATTTTTTTATTATTTGAACTCTTTCTTTTGCCACTTCAAAAGCATGACTATCAAAAGGAATAGACTTTGTTTTATGGATTTAACTGGTAATTATTTGATTAGCAATATCAAAATATCTTAATGGAGTCTAATCTCTCCCCCCTTCTTCTCCACAGATCCGTAATAGCAAGGCTGTTGCCTTAAAGACTATTTTAAAATGCTGGTATTGCACCTTCTGAAACCATTTAATCTTTATGAACCCTGGGACCATATGT